AAAATCGGTCAAAAAGCAGAAAAGTTACAGTTCGAGATACGATGATATGAATAAAAATTGGACTTCGGCACACAAAGGAAAAAATAAAAATTGTATATCACAATTACATATGATTTAGCTCGGAATTTTAAGAGCAATCCAACCATGTAATGGACGAAGTGATTGAGGCAAAATTACAAGAAATTGATCTTTTACGAAAAGGCTTCCTCTGAAGAGTTTTACCTGACGATAGGGGTAGAATAGCAACAGATCGCATACAATAGCTTTTTGCGTTCGTAATACCCGGTCTCGTCGATGTGCGTGCTCGACCTCGCAGCGTTGTCATTTACATGGTTCTGCGTTTATTTGCCCGATTTTTCAGGGATCATCGTTCGTGGGCCCTACTATAGATACAATAATTCTTAAAATGTATGTAGAGACACGCCTAGAGGAAATGAGCGAAATGCTGAATAATTTGTTATAAGAAGGCCTCTTTCTTAGGCACCCAAGTAGCAGAGGTTGCAACAACCTTCAACAAAATTGTTTGATTATTGCAACTAATGGATTGATGTGCAGATTGCCTACTCTCTCCTACGAAGGAGCTATCATTGTTGGAACTAGTTGCAATTAGGTTGAAACACGTTTTAACTTCAAAGTATTGCTGGTTGCCTATCTTTAGATTTGAAAGAACTTTGGTTCAGCAATTTTGCAATCTCAGCAGGTTGCAACTTTGTCTTCCTATCAGATCGCCGAAAATCAACACTTATCGACCGAAAGTTGCAACTTTGTTGCAACTAATATCAACATTGTTTCAACTTGTTGCAACTTTTAGATTGAAAAATGCTACTTGGGCAGTGGAATATGGCGCGCTTGGCTCTGTTGGTCAAACCATCCAAAACTCCGGAACGGAAATAGCGACCGATCTGTATGCTGAATTCTTTTTCTAAGCTACTAGAGTATATTCTTTAAAGAAGAATATTGTCCTTTTCCAAATGGTCTGATATTCAGTGTGGGTTTAGGAGCGGGAGGTCAACAGTAGATTCCATGAAGGCTCTCTAGCGCATTTATGAGGAGAACTGTTTTGTGCCGCCCAGACAGATCGGCCTGGACGTAACGAATGCGTTTAACAGTCTTCAGTGGAGGGACGATATTATGGTCTTGAGTAAGCAGATGGCCCCAGCGTAAATCGTTACCATCATTCAGAGTCAACTGTCTGATCGTACACTGGTAGTAAATGGCTAAAACAGGTATCACGATCTACTCTGGCGCGGCACAGGGATCGATTCTTGGGCCGCTGTTTTGGAACTTAGTTTATGATGCTATCGTTCAGATCAAAATAGATCCGTCAAATTTTTTGGCATTAGCAGATTACCTCGGTCCCACTAGTATTACGTACTTTTGAGGGTCTAGATTTAGGTAGAGAAAGCAATAGAATCACCAAGAAGATCAAGAGAGAATTATAAGAACAAAAGGGACTTGCCATCGAAGTATCAAAGACCGAGGGTATGTTCTTGGATGGTAAGGGGAAAAGTCGAGGGGGCACATGCACAACACTGGTGGTAGACGATGAGCCTGTACAAGTTGGAACATCCATCAGACACCTTGGTTTTCATTTGGACAAGGATCTGGGGATGACCTAGCACATCAGGGCAGTATGTGAAAAGGTTAAAAAAGTATCCTCTGGACTCAACAGCCTTCTGCCTAACACTTACGGTCCGGCATACAGGAAGATATAAGTTATTCAGTCCTCTGTCCTTTCTATCTTGCTCTACGGAATATTTGTCTGGGGTGCGACGAAGGGTGCAACCTTGAAGACGAACTTTAAGCTAATGAGGAGGTACAACGTTGATGCTTCTGAAGAGGCTCTGAAAAGTGTTGTGCATATAGGACTGCGTCAAAAAACTGTCTGGATATAATTGCAGGCATTCCACCAGAGGATATGTTAATCGAAAAGGAGTGTAGGAAAGCTACAAAAACAGAGGATCCCTCGGAAATTGAAGGAGAGATTATAGGGACAAATGGAGTCAAAGATGCGCGTCAAACACCCAAGACACCTGGTGTCGCACTTTGATTCCAGATCTTAAAAAATGGCTCGATAGAGACCATGGAGTGCCGGACTATTTTTTGACGTAGTTCTTCACCGGTCATGGGAGTTTCGATAGTTATCTGCATGGATTTAAGATTTCTCCCTCTCACGAATGTAGTTTCTGCACGGTGGAGAGAGACATACCTTTTTTTGGATGTCCACTCTTTGCGGAGTTCCGTAAGAAAGCACAAATAGGAACAAATGTAATCTTAGCTCCACATAAGTAACATTGTTGATGTCATGTTGGAGAGAAAAAACAATTGGCAAGTAAAAGTAGAATTCATCAGAGCCACCCTACAAATAAAGCAAAAGGATTATAATAAGTCAAAATCCTTACAAGCCGAAGATATGCCCGCTGGCGATTCCGGCGTGTCTCACACCGCGGTGTAATGCTGTGGAGTCTGTTTTTAGCTGGATGACGTCTGCTAAGTCCGAGAGCACAGGGGGGCGGAAGCCCTCACGGCCAAACTCGCATGTCCGCGGCTTAAAGATAGTGCTTAGCTAGGCATAGCAAACGGTGTGGCAACGGCGTAAAAACAAAAACTCAAACTCACGATCAGTATGCTAAAGTCGTATGGAAAAACTACACGGCGACGGCACAATGCAACCCGGGGAGAATGATCACAACCACCTGATGCTGCGCATAGAATAGAAAGAAAACCTCCTCACTCGTCAAAGCGTAATGTCGAGTTATGGCTGGAACTAAGAAATGACAGAGCGAGTGAAAGGGAAGCAAACCGTGAACGTTACCAGGGCGGCGATGTAATAGAAAAAGAAAACCAAAGCTGGAGCTAAATCCAAAAAAAAAAAAAATACAATACTTCAACACTACTCAGAAGAGCGAAGGTGAAGGCGCGGCGAAGCGCTGCGAAGAACTGGTTCGCGAGGCGAGACCCGACCCGAGAGCTCCCGAAAAATGCAGTTTTCGAAAGATCCCGCTAGACGGGGCACAGGTCACGACCCAGACCAACTAGGAATGACGCGTCATCTGTGACATAGCGTATGCTCGGTGCTTCTCCCCTCTCCCCCCCCCTCCCCCTCCAGGCGGCGGCGCGCTCAGGGGTGTTAGAAACAATCGGAGGCCATGTTCGGTTTCCGTAGCTCAAAAAACACGAGACTTTTTATTTAAAAAAAAAATTGGGGACTTGAAGCACCTCGGAGAAGTTTTTAGTTAGAAGCTAAACTTGAGAGTCATGGGGGAAAAGACGGCGATCTTATTCAGATTTAGCGGCTCAAAATACACCTAAAGCTACCAATCAAGGACGGCTAGAAAGTTCAGTACTTTTACATTTGCAACGAAAATGACTGATGGTCGCCTCTTTCAGCCGGAAAAGTCGGCTTTCCGGAAAATTAATAGATTATAATAAAAAACGGTGTAGTCATATTCGGTTCTAGCAGCTCAAGATGCGCAGAAATTGGTACCTACATTGAGGAGACTAATAAATTTATTTGTGCATTCTGAACAGGAAAGTCTCCGCAAAGACGTCGAGAGAGCAAAGTTCATTTTTCGATGGACATCACCTTTTCCGGAAAACTCAAAGGTGCGAAGGTGATGCATGAAAACGGTGGTCATTTTCGAACTCGACGCGTCGAACTAAACATGGATCACTTTCTACCTTATGTCCAGTTACACAGTGTCATCCCTCAAGAGTAAATTCGGACGAGTTGAAAATAATTTTTCAAGGGAGTGGGGGAAGGAGGGGGGAAGGAGGGGGAAGAAGGGGGCTGCATGGGGCTTACGCACTTTTTTAAATAATTCTACCGGGACATTTTACATTGAGTGTACCTGATCATTTTTCCATATAAGCCATTAAATGCCGAAAAATAACCTACTTGAGGGAAAGGGGAAGAATAGTCGGGGAGGTGGTAAGGGTCTTTGGGGGTGGAGCGGTAATGCAAACAAGACTAAGAGCATTTAGAGCTCTTTTTGTTGCAAGTTTTGAGATTTTTTAAAGTAAATATGACCATTGCTGCATTGAATCCAATATGAATACCACTACAGATGGGAATACCTCGATTTTTGGGTAGAAAATAACGTAATTTGGAAGGGAGGGGTGGCGAGGGGATCTAAAATATTAGGTACACTCATTGTTCTGGGCATTTCACGATTGTTCAAATCGAATGCAATCTTTTTTTGCGCTCAAAACAACCTTTAAAGCACTCAAGTCAAGAAAAAATACCCCAAGTTGATCCTTTCCTCCCCTCTCCTAGGTTCAGCACGTCTTATTCATTTAGTTTTTTTGGTGAGCGTTCTTAATGCCCAAATGAACAACTTAAAATAATAAAATCGTTCACCCCAATTTCTCCGCTGTTCGTAGGATTTTGATCCGCCACATCTGGACTACATTCCTATCGAAAATATTTTGTTAAAAGGGAAAAATGTATGCGCCGGAGATATGAGAGATCAATGCTCCAGAGTTTTCTGAAGTGGTTGATGGGTGTTACCCAGACACGTTTTTCTCAAACACACCGGATAGGTCGACCAGATATTTTCTTTTTTCTTGATACAAGAACGTCCAATTTCAAGTTAAAAAAACTAAATTCCAGGTCGAGCTATTTGGTGTGTTTAAGAAAAGTGTCATGTATTACCCATCAATCTCTTCAGAAAAATATGGAGGATTGATTTCTGAAATCATTCTCGACACATACCTAAATTTTTGAAATATCATCGATGAAAAATGATCCCCGTTTTATGTTCTATAAGATCCCCAGAAAGTGGGTGCCTGGCGAATCAGCCAATCACAGACGACTCGTAAAAGTGGAGAGTGCCACTCGGTCCGCAATTTATATTACGGCTCTTGTTTTCTCTTTGGAAAACACTCCACCCACTGGTACTCCCATAGGTTGAACGTACAATTTTCGAGAGTGAATGCAATTATAATTGAGGGTTTTGTACACGCAGATCAAAATATTTTATATAATTCCAGGGTTTTAGGAGCGGCTTCGTTCAAAAATTGTGAGCAGATTGGTGAAAGAAGGTTCGAGTGCAGATGAGCCCACCAACATTAATCTCTCGGACTACTCAAGCGATGAAGGTGATACAAGCAGTTGCACCGATGATGAAACAACAGATAAACCTACCCTGCCTGCGTCAGCTCCTCCTTCCTCACCTCTGTGTCCTCGTCAAAAAGGAACTCAAAAGCTTAAAGAAACCTCCCCAAAAACAAACATGTCCCAGCCGCTTTCATCCTACTCTTCACCTCTACCGCGTAAAATTTTACAGGTGAAGAATGGAATTTTTTATTTTATTATCACCTTTACTTCTTTTAAAGGAAAATCCCACGCTTTTTCAAGTCACGCGCCTGAACTGATAAAAATGATTTATGCAAAGTGTACCGCGGCAACGTACTAATCAACGTGCACATCGACGTCGAAACTGCCAGACCATGTATCTCGTTTGCGGTGTTTAAAACTCTCCGCTCTGATTTTATTTCTTTGAAAAAGAACAATGGAGATGTTGCATGTGTGAGGAATTTGCGATTTGACTGTTGATTCTTATGTAAAAGTTTGCAAGAAACACGATGGCGCCGGTAGTTTTCTCTGAAATCAACTCCCAAGCTCAAAGAAAGCTCTCGAGTTGAGGCCAAAATGGAGGAGATATCCAACGCTACCCTGAGAGTCCACGTCTACATCAAGACAAACTCTTCATGCACAGATACGGAGCAAATACATTGGCAGGGTTGCCGTGTTTTCAGTTTTGGAGTCCCCAAGTAAAGTGCCAGCCCTGTCAATATATTTGCTCCCTATATTCGCATGGAGAGTTCGTCTGGATGTAGAGGCAGACTCTGAGGGTAGCGTGGGATATCATCTCCATTTTGGCCTCAACTAGAGAGCTTTTTTTGAGCTTGGGAGTTGTTTCTAGAGAAAACCAGTGTCACCATTGTGTGTCTCGCGAACTTTTGCGTAAGAATCAACGGTCAAATCGCAAATTCCTCACACATTCAACATCTCCATTATCACATTACCATTCCTTCAATTTTTCAGAGTTTTCTCTGCACTGCCCAAGTAGCAATTTTTTTTATACTTAAAAGTTCGTAAATTTACATTTTTTTTAATGTAAAATTTACACCACAGTTGACGCTTTCTTGCCAATTTTACATATAAAAGACATACATTTATGTAAATTTCAGTTTTTTTTACGTATAAAAAACTTAAATCTATATAAATGCATGTCTTTTTTATGTAAAATTAGCAAGAAGGCGTCAACTGTGGTGTAAATTTTACATTTAAAAAAATGTAAATTTACGAACTTTTACGTAAAAAAAATTAAAATTTACTTATTTTTCTTATGAAAAAACACTTTTTTAAAGTAAAAAAGGTAAAAGGAAATCCTGATTTACGCATAAAAAGAGGAGGTCCCTTGCGGAGCAGTGCTCCTACGGGTCCCCCATTTTAATAATTGATGAGAATGATAGAGCCTTCGGTGCGGTGCCCTACAAGAGACCTTACAGAAATTTAATACATATATTGTACTTTAAAAACATTAAATTTTATGATTTCTCAAAATTACTCTACCTGTGCAACTGCCTTACTGTTTATTGTCAATTCTCAAGAAAAGTGAACTTGTTAATTATTCAATTGAGTTTTGAACCACTCCCTCGAGATAAAATTGTATTGATACCACAAAAAAGTCTTAAACTAGCAGATTCTTCCACCTTGTTGGTAGTTAAGACTCTACTATTTCATTTATCATGAGAAGTCATAGCAAAGTCTTGAGTATACTCACACCGACACTATTGAAATTTTATGCTATAGTCCACGCCACGAAAAGTGGCGGGTGAGGGGCGGAGACAGTCGGCCGGTCTAGTCTATCGTTGAAGGGTTGGCGCGCAGGTATTGGCCCGTAGTTTAAACGGGGTAACGACTGGGCCAATACCTGCGCTTCAACCCTTCAACGCTAGACTAGACCGGCCGACTGTCTCCGCCCCTCGCTCGCCACTTTTCGTGGCGTGGACTATAACGACTATTCACCTTACCAATTAGAGGCATTAAGTTTTAAGCAAATTTTCTTTTAGCATCTATACTATATTTAAGGGTTTTTTTAAAACTATAATTTGTATTTACAAATTACGTATCAAGCCGTAACACAAGAACAATATACCTGCAGGTCTAAATTTTTTTACAAATGCAAGATGTATTTAATGCAAGATACTAATCTACAAAATTCATAAATAAATAATTCACCTATTTGCTTCGGTTCCTCCCCGGGTTAGATGATGGAATAGATTATCTTCAGCATAAAATTCAGCATTCTTCGTAAATAGTTTGTTCCCAGGAGAGATGTCCACGCACTACAGCCATCACCATTTTATTAAATATTGCACCACCACTTCTAATGAGCGCCGCTCAAACCAATATTAAATGACTCATTTACGGAAAATATCGATTTTACCAAATACCACTATCACAGCACTTGGGGAGCGAAAAGAAGAAAAAGTAAACACTTACCTAGAGGTTATTGAAAGTGGAATCCACATACGGTATGCGAATTGCACTACTTAGCGAGAGCTTCAATCACAAATATGTATGATATTCCATAAAATTAGGTAGATAATTATTGATGTTGAGAGTTTGCCGTTAACCTCCTGTCCAGGGCTCTTTCAAAAAATTAAAAACTTGCCACAATGACAGGAGACAGACGGACTGTGAGTCAAAGACAATGTGGGTATTCCGGTAGGCCCAGATGATGAGACCAGTTTTCGCAGACATCCATGCGCACGGCCCGGAAAAAATGTAAAGAAAGGAAAACAGGGCATCATGAAATGAATCATTGATACTCTCGGGAAGGAACATTAATATTTACTTACCGTGCCTGGGTACCTTAGCGCTTCAGCTTACACTACTGTAAGAAAGCATAAGAAATGAACTTTTCAACATTTGAGTGATAAAAAGAAGGAGCAAAAATGAACTGAGGCATGTTTATCAGCGCTTCATAACATTCATTTACACAAGGTTCTAAGTATTAACCATGCAAATTCGACTGTTGCACATAGATTGATTTCGTCTGGTTCTTGGCCGAGACATATGTTGTAGTCCTGGTCAGATTGAGAGTGAAATAAATTTCTGCAGACAGTATGGTATAAGGATCAAATTGTTTCCTTTGCTGAGCTGTATGTAAGTCACGAAAACTAGTTCCTGAAACATGACGCAACTTACTTGTAGACAATTTTGAGTAGTCCCAACCCAAATCTTGTTGCCATTTTATTTACCATGACTGAAAGTGCGGAGAGTATGTTGACTTACGTATGTGATAGCCGATTAATGGTTTGCACACAGGTAATAACCCTGTGAAATCAGGGTAAACTTGTTGAGGTTAGGAAGTGCGGACAGACAAGAAATGTGTTTAGTAGCTTATGGATACGGGCTTATGGGCTATGGATAGCTTACGGATAGGGGGCCGTCTATGGGTATATTTCGTCCCAGGCATTGTTCCAACCATGATAATAAACACTCCTCAAGTCGAGGAAACTCACCGGGTCGGTTGCGCTTCTTCTTGTTTACTCGACCATTACCAATGGGCACTTTGTCCTTGTTTTTCAATATTGTGGACAGGGTGGAAGGCGGAATGTCGAATCTTTTGGCCACATCACTTTTTTTCTCACCTCTCTCGACTGCATCAATAATTTCTCGTTTCTTCCCGAAATCCAGGGATTTATATTTTCCCATTTTTACATTCACTTCTACGCACTTGACATACGCACTAGCCGAATTCGCTGCTTACTAATCACCTGATCAAGCTTTTCGCGGAGGACTCTCGGGACTTGTTTACATATTGACAATCATATCAGCTCCTTCAGGCACCCAGGTACATAAACAGTTGACTTCGAATTATAGAGGGAATGCACCGTCTTATTTCGAATTATAGAGGGTAGACCTTATTTACTTCCCACACTTCGAATTACAGAGGGAATTTTTGCCGCAATTTCGAATTAAAGAGGGTCGCGCCAGCTTAAAAATTTCGAAATAACGAGGGGAGAAAAATACATTGATTTTCTTCGAATTATCGAGAGATTCTCAAGGGAAACGGACTTTCCTTCGAATTAACGAGGTTTTCGAATTATCGAGGTTCGAATTATCGAGAGTCCACTGTATATGGATTCACGTCAAGAGCAGGTAACTAAAATTTGAATTACCATTAACAGGCACATACATAACTGGCTAATTGCTTCGACAAAATATACCAGATTATTAGATGGAAAATGTGACAGCAAAATTGGTTCTCAAGACGCCTGTAGCGTCCTACGACAGCGGCTGAGAAATCTGAAGAATTACATACCTTTCGAACGATGATTAATCTTAGGAGAATGAGTGTTGTCAGGAATCAAAAAAGCAAAGCTGTGTCAAAAAGAATTTGACACAGTTCGATTTGATCTGCTAATGTATAAATTAAAACGAATAGGATTCAGTGAGAAATTTTGTAAATCGCTAGAAAGCTACTTGGTGGGGAGGACTCAGTACGTTGAAATCCAAGTTGGTAATAAGAAATACAAATCAAAGAAGTTGTTGGTACTGGGTGGTGATTGCTGCAATTCTATTTATTTTATTTGTTAATGATATAGCTACATATGTTAAAAGGAAGATTACATTGTAAGCTCTAAAATCATTACTCTTAATCCTACTATTCGCTGATGACATCCTAATGGTTGTCCGCAGTCAATGTCGAGAGAATCTCGAAAAAGACACCTATGTACTCATGAATTACTTACTCCAATGGTGCAAAATGAACTTTCTGAATTTTAATGAAGGAAAGACAGTATTTATGCTGATACATACTAGAATTAAATGTAATTGGAACTTCAATATATTCGTGGATGAAAGGCAATTAGAAGAAGTAAACGCACTAAAATATCTTGGACTCTACCTTGATAATAAATTAAACTTTGAAATGCATTGTGACAAAATAAGATCTAAAATAGCTGCGTCAATTTTTGTCCTGAGGATGTTAAGTAAATTCTGCGTTAAAAAAGTTTTTCTACTAGCCTATCACGCACTAGTCGAGTCTCATATAAATTACTGTATCAATACTTGGTCATGCGCGAGTAATAAACAGATAGAGAAAATCTTTATTCTCCAAAAAAAATCAATCAGAACCATTCTGAAACTGAAACAAGACACATCATGCAGAGAACACTTCATAAAAAATGATATATTAACATTACCGGCCAAAATAATTATGAGTCACTTAAAATTACTGGCTAAAAGGCTGAAGGGAGATAGAGACAC